GCTGACTGGTTGTTGCAGAACTGCGCCAAATGCAGTGTCAAATGCATCAAATGAGATACTTAATGGTGCCGCTGGATCCTGATACATAAGAACAGTAGCATTAGAGATGGCCTTTTTAACCTGAAGGAAAGAATTTTTAGCGGACGCGGCGAGTTCGATCAACTTGTTATTCCTTAGAGGAAGGTCTGTTGACGGCTGAATCAAGGAAGCACAATCGGAAAAAGGCGTTGGTGATAACTTACCAAGCTAATAAAATAGCAATGATTTTTCGCCCTATCTGGCTCGAGGAAGTTCAGAATTGCACTCAACTTTACTGGCCAGTGGGCGGGTCCTCTCGTAGTCAGTGATGTGGCTGAGAAAGTCTAGTGATTTTACTCCTCTCTGATACTTTTGAATATTTCATGCATTTATTCCCCTTGATGAATTCGAATAAAGCAAAAACTACAGTGGTTTGTGCAGAATAATAGGGTACCATCATTAATTTTGTTGCCTCCTCATCAGCTGCTTACGGCCTTACAGACTTTTGAATATCAATGGTAACACCATGTCGACGTAACCTTTCGAATGCCAAGACCAAGTGTCTAAGGTGAGTTTCCTTGTCTGGACTGGCAATGAGGCAGTCGTCTAGGTATGCGTATACAAAGTCGAGACCGTGAAATACTTTGTCACTGGAGCGTGTAAATGTTGGTGCTGCATTCCGGAGACCCAGTGGCATACACAGAATTTCGAAAAGTCCAAAAGGCGTAATTATAGCCGTCTTCGGAATATTTTCGAGTGCATTCGGGATTTGGCTAAAAGCTTTACCCAAGTCTATTTTCCAAAAAGTAGTTGCACCAGATACTGTTGCGTCATGTCATATATGTGAGGCAGTGGATAACAATCAGAGGTCGTTCTGTCGTTCACTGGCCGATAATCACCAGTGGGTCCCCAATCGTTGCTATCTTCTATTGGTACCATGTGGAGTGGGGACACCCAAGAGCTATTCGATGGCCGAATGTTGCCAAGGGTGAGCATATGGTCGAACTTATTACCCGGTAGTCGTAGTTTGTCAGGAGCAGGTCATCGTGCTTCGCATATCACGTGTTGTCCTGAGATTCTGATGTGATGCATAACACTGCTGGTTACGCATGGTAGATCGTTAGGAGGGTCAACAGTCGGCTGAAAAGCTGGATCAAAGATCGCCTTCCTACTAACCAGTGACAAACCGGGACCTATGTGGGCATTCCAGTGGTACCATCTATTAGTCGTTTTGGCGGATATTTATGAGTGGGTCATGATGACTAAGTAAGTCCATGCCTATGGTAGGCCTTGTAACGTCTGCTTTAACGCAAGTACAGATAGACGTATTTCCTACCAAAGGTTGTAACATATTTTCCATTCGCTGCCTGTAAGTTGAAGGTAGGCCCCTTCTGTTGATCCGCCTCTGTAACAGGAAGGGCGCTGACTTGGTCACCCGTGTTGACCATCAATGGGTTTTGTTCACTACTTCGCGGATGGATAGTAGATGGAAACTGCCACTGGTGAAGGATCAAAAAGCGAGGTCTCTATGAACGCTTGGCCGCCGCAAACCAGTTGTCCCTTTGGTAACTTTTGCACGTCAGAATCGCTACGGTCCTCCACCATAGTTTCCTCTGGCTGCAACCTTTTCAAGCATAGTTCATCATCTTTCGGATCTCAACTTGTACACTCTTGCTCCTCCCCGACGGTCCACATGGCACAAGGCCACATATCTACGTCACTGGACGGGCCGGCGATGCGCTTGCTGCCCACAGGTTGGAATTAATGAGCAAAACAGCAGGATCTCACCGCAGCCTGCACAAGCCAAACCTTTACCTTCACTGCGCCTTTGAATTTCGTAAAGCCCAATGACTCGCGCAGATGTTAAACTTCCTGGTCCGTGTTGAGTTGAGTTAACGGAATTGCTTAACTCTATAACTTCAATATCACTACTCGAAGAGTTTTTAGTGATTTAGCACATTTCCGTGATTAGTCGTTGTGCTATTTTGGGAATTTTATCAACAGAAGTAGCTAAATCATTTACAATAACACCTTGGAATGTCACAAGAACAGCCTATACTGAACATGACCACTTTGATGGAAGCAGGTCTCCAAGGAGTCCATCGTCGAACAGAAGTTAGTCAATAATTTCCCGCATTCGTGTTAGCATGTTCAGATTCGACTGATCACCTAACCCAACATCGCGAAATAGTTCATCAAAATGCTGGCAATATGTGAGATCACTTGTTTTAAGGAGGGTTGCCTAAAGCAATTTCTGGGCTAGATATTTGCATAGTAACGCTTAATTCCGGCGGTAGAGAGTGGATAGCTGCAAGGAACTGTGAGTGCCGGTCAGTGATCTCATATTCGCTGAAATCGGACTTGGCTATCTGAAAACATGATTGCACATTGTCTAGCCAAAACGCTAGGGGCTGAACAGTGTTGCTAATTGGTCCGATGCGCATGAGTTCGGGAGTATAGCCACTCATGGAGAACATGTATTTCAAAAATGGTAAGTATAATACGAGGGGAAATAAAAAATTGAAAGAACTAAACTGGATTTGCCTGCGTGACAACCAAAGATGGATTTTGCGAAAGGGATAAACAGTTTAGAGGCTGAGAGTGTCGACGTTCATGGATAATGCGATTTATTCTAACGCAAAGTCTAACAACCAGAACCTTTATAGTATTCGTTCCGCGTAGACTAAAGACAATGCGAAACGCTAAATTGATCATACAGATTATGAAGTATATTTCAGAATGAAATCGTAGTGCCAGGCTTAACTAGCTAGGGATCGTGCAGGAACTAAGGAACGTAACACGATGGTGTGCCGAATGGCGTGGATGCTTGAGAGTAAGCCTTCAGCTAAACAAGTGAGCTTAAACAGTGGAGGTCACCATCCAGTGTTCAGTGATGAATGCTGTGGCTAATAATTCCAGGGAATAACCTACCACTACAGTAGATTTCCCCACTGATTTCAGAGTAATGAAGGTACAAGAACACAGGGGCACCAAAATTATCTCCATTAGAGCCAAAAATCTTCTCTACTACTATTTATTTTTCCGGCGTGTTTACCTACTGTGTAGTCGTCATAATTGCACCGATCTAAAATTGCGACATAGTCATGAATACAAAGTCATAACAGTTTGTTTGACAAAACACTTTCAGTGAAGTGATGATATTGTAAATTAAAAGTGAATTGGTAGACAGCTGTAAGTATGCACTACATACATTGACTGGATACTAGTTAGTAACTAGCATAATGTGTCCAGTCCTTTATTTGGTGCAGACTGAAATCTGTAAGTCACGTTTGCTATTTGGCCAGCAATCAATGTGGTTCGCGAACACAGTGCAATGTGAATTGTTCAATCTGCAACAGAAAAAGGATCAGACGTACTACACTGGTCCACTGGCTAGTGCCCAATCAAAAGTATGAAATGCAGTCCTACAGGAGTTCAGTTACCAGCAAGAATAGCCCAGTGATAACATCTGTGACTGCACCACTCACTCAGTAACACCGGTTCAAATCTCAGAAGGGACTTGATGTCCTTCACGATCGCAGATACGCCTTGCTGACCGGTGGGTGGCAACTAGCACGAAACTTAGTTCCAAGGATTCCTGCCGGTTGCCTTCAACCATCTGATACCAACAATTCAATGTGCACCGTGATGGCGAGCCACTTAGCATGGTGGCCTCATTGCAAACGTGACTGACAGAATTCAGTCTGCGCCAAGGATATTACTATACACATCACGCTAGGTACTGCAAAAATAATCCACATTTGTAAGAAGCATGACACATAACTGTTGAAACAAGTAAGATACGTTTCCCTTGACCTGTAAGGCAAGAATAAAGGTCTCTGCAACGTGTAATGCATTCGCATAACACATTTCGGAAATTATAATCACATGCGTACTTGTCATACAAATTTAAATAGAAGGTGATAGAGCATGAATTGTTACAATATAGGTTTCGTTTTGTACAGGTCTGGGGCACAGATAAAGGGACGTGATGCAATCAGGTGAGGTGAGAACAAGAAGGCTGACGGTGAAAATATTATTGAGTGAACTGGACCTCAGTTCTAAACTGGATTGACAAGTGAGGTTAAAAGTAATAGCAAATGAATTTCGGGTACATCAGAGAGGTTTAAGCCATTTTATGGTCAAGGCCTCAACTAATTTAGGTATCTGACCCAAATTTGCTCTAAATACAGGTTCCAAGACATTATTGGAACCAATCTTGTGACACGTCTCTATTATGTGCTTCGGGATAGCTTATTTCAGACACATATTCCCAGGATCAATCAGATGGATACAGTTGATTGTCTTCTGTGACAGTCGATTTTATACGAACGTTGCCATTCCAGTCTTCATAGGGATTGTTGTTGGAAACTACGGTCGCTGTAGTGAGTCGGTGGCACAGCGGTTAGGACGCTCGCCGACTATGCACATGGTCCGGGGTTCGATCCCCGGCCGATGCACTGATATACGTCTCTAAGCCAGAAATAAGACTGGTAAAGAGGGAAGGTTGGTCATGAGGCCACCAACACCATTCCGTACAAATAAACCCTACTACAGAAACTTCAAGCCTCTAGCTTGAAGCCCTATGTTCCTTTGTGAACGTGAAGTAATAAAAAAAAGAACGCTGTAACCACCTGCTGTGTCCTACGTTGGTTATTCCTCTAAATGGCTGTTTAATACTACTACCTATCAGTCATTACATACAAAAGCATCAGACCATTTGAAGAATATCAAACTCAAAATAAAAATGAGCAGGAAAATCCGGATTATTTGATTCTTTTCAAGGTATTCACTTTGAGTATAATGCATTACCAAAGCAAGTAGTAAGTTTACCTTCACGCTGTGAAGATACTTCCAATTTATCAGTAATCTACAGTGTATACCTGCCTATGCATAATAAGTCTGAATGTCATCAACCCCACATCGTTTTTACATACAGTGTTGAACCTTCGAATATTAACATTTTGTTTCGTTGCACAGATTTTCAAGGACAGATATTGGTAATATTTTAAATGAGCTTTTAGTAACCATGATAAAAAGAGACTCCCAGTGTAACTTACTTTTCAAAAGTAAGGAATGGTAAAATACTCTTATTTCGTTAGTTATTCTGATAGGAGATTCGGGTGTAGGCAAAACAAATTTACGTTCACGGTTCACCAACGATGAATTCAACCTGGAAAGCAAGAGCACAATCGGCGTTGATTTCGCCACAAAGTAAGGTGTAAAAATTTAATTTATCTACTAAAAGGAATGTCACCATTGACGGTAGGACTGTGAAAGCACAAATATGGGATACCGCTGGTCAGGAAAGATATCGTGCTATAACTTCTGCGTACGTACGTTTCAGTCCATAAAAACTAGGATAACTACACTAATGCAAGGCTCATTAAATGTTTTTAACTGTCTTATGTATATATTAGGTTCATATCCGTTTTAGTTCATTTTTCAAAGTTCAATATACATTGAGCATTATTCACGACAATTATGTCTTTAAACATCGTGATTGTCCATCAGTTTGCCTTTTAACTACATTATCTTAGACTATGTTTGTAATCAAAATACCACTATTCGGTTAATTAACAAATACTGCTGTTAAAAGTGCTCTTCACCGACTTCAATTTAAATAAGTGACTGTCTAGAAATACAGCACCACAACGTTATCATTCTTACTGCAGATTTTGTACTCATGGTTTGTTTGTCGTTGGATTACTGCCTGATTGATCTCTATTATTATGTGACTTCTTAACGACCTATAGGTCAGTTTACTGTTTCTTAGTATGAATCATGTATATCTAGGACTAATATGCATGTAGTGTCTTCTATCATAGTTCTCTCAGATGTATTCGTTCCATTTCACTGGAACTGCGAATTAATACAGTGAGATACATATCTTTCAGTAGGTTTATTTTTTCATAACAGGAATCTTTGAGAATTTACGTCAGCTTTTGCGGTATTTTTCAGCAGGTAGTCTTAAATCGAAACAGATTTAAAAGAAAAATGCAAAGAAGCCAGACTGCTACTTTGCTTTGTACAAGTGAGATAAGATTATTTAACATAAAACAGTGATAAAATATTATTGATTGGGTGGTGTTTCGAGAAAAGGTTGCTTACTCGTAATTATCTACGCATACACACTACTTACTGACTTCCTTCATGTAACTTTTTATTACCTCCGTTTTTATTGCAATTTTCCATACGTTTGCTTATTATTTCGATTCCACGTATTTGGCTTCAGTAGACAAAGACTAAGTGACCAACCTGTTCCTCCACCTAACTGTACTTCTTTTTGATAAGCATAAGTTAGTAACTAGTGTGATGTGTATAGTTCTATCTTTGGCATAGACTGAATTCTGTCAGTCACGTTTGCAATGAGGCCACCATGCTACATGGCCCGCCATCATAGTGCACTTTGAATTGTTGGTATTATATGGTTGGAGGCAATTGGCAGGAAGCCTTGGACCTAAGTTTCGTGCTAGTTGGCCCTCACCAGTCAGCAAGGCGTATCTGCGATCGTGAAGGACATCAAGTCCCTTCTGAGATTTGAACCGGTGTTACTGAGTGAGTGCTGCAGTCAGAGATGTCACCACTGAGGTATTCGGGCTTGTGACTGATCTCTTGTAGGACTGTTTTTCATATTTTTGATCGGACACTAGTTAGTAACTAGTCAGTACTCCTTTTCAATATGCAAGTGCATGCATCATAATGGACCAGTCTTTTTATAGATTACTCAGTTTAGAGGGATCAACCTATATAACTCTAGCTAAATACCTGTGTTCTGATTTGTAACTTAACTGACTGTGATCAACTTGTTCGGCTTAAATAATTGACGTAACTGCAATTAAATGGTTTTTGGTTAATTCCATTATTTTTGATCAAATTTGCTCATCAGTTTCCTCAGCCAAATAAGTTTGTGTGTGATCGAGTTGGTTAGTTTAAGTGACACCCTGAATTCTGGCTTACTAGGATCGCTGATTAAGCCCACTGATATCCCTTCCTTAAATAGCAGTATTTTCGAAGCTTTGAATTCTTTGCCGTTTGTTGTCTTTAGTATCGTTTTTTATTGTTAGCATCAGCACTCCTGTTTTTCCTATTGGTCTTAATACACTTTTGAACAAAATCTTGTGTTTAGTTGTTCACTACTGATATTTTCCTTATTTGTTTGATTTCATAATTAAAATCTTCTGACTTGCTGGTCAGTCTTCCAGCTCGATTGTATAGACATTTAACTAAACCCACCTTTAGCACTTTTCAGTGGAATGGTATGAAGTCTGATTGCCTGTCAGAATATGGTGGTTTCTTACCATGTGTGTAATGGACCATCCTGTTTTTGATTTTATTTCACAGTCTAGCAAAGCTAAATCATTTCGTTTACTGTCCACCTCAGAAATAGACCGGATTATGTCTAATGCTGAGTTTACACCGTAGTAGATGGAATCTAGTGTGTAAATACATTTTGTATAACTGTGAGCAGCAATAAATTGTGCTCAAAATGTCATTCACTTTTTAATGAAACTGTATCACTCAATATCATATCGAATTAACTTCTCCGGTATGGAATCATTTACTTAACACAGTCCCAATAATCTGTGCTTACTCTGATCCATTGACTAAAATGAGCGTGTGTTTCTCTGACTACGTTTCATTTCATTCCAGGCAGTGAGTGCTTCACTTCTCATTTGCGTTTATCTTTTAAGATTTGTTATAGTATGACATGTCTGTGAATTTTGGCAGGATGAAGTGTCATCACATGGAGAATTATATGATAGTGGGTCACTAAATCACACATGGTTACTGCAACGCTGTCTATTCTAGTCCATATCTTTAGTAAAGACTGTTATTTAAGTTTTCGCTTGTTGAAAACAATGGAAAGCGTGAAGAATTATTGTATTGAATCAACTTTATATGCATTTTAATAAAAAGCTAAAAGTGCGTCAAGAGAAAGTAACCTAATCTTCAGTTAAGGAAAACCAGATGTCTGTTGAGTGACAGTAGGTATATTTTTACACTGGGTTTCAGGAAAGATGATGCATGGGTTTACTATTCTTCAACCTAGCCTCCCCCGCACAAATACGGGGCAGAAGTAGTCGAGAACAAAATATGTACCAAGGGGAATTATTGGGTGTGTGTGACCCAGATGGCTGAATGGTCTACGAGCTTAGCTAGTGACCAGAAGGTCCTGGGTTCGAAACCTGGTGCCTGCGTACTGCCGGAGTCCCAAGGGCTGGGACTCAGCAGCTATCCAGTATTCCATAACTTTCAGTTTGTGCCTCAGTGGTTCGGCTGGAGAACGTTCGCTAACCACGCACGTGGTCTTGGGATCGATCCTCAGTCGACACACTCCTTTACCTCGCTAAGCCGACAGTAAGGCCGGTAAAGAGGGAAGGTAGGTGTAGCGTGAGGCTAGCAACCCTATCCCATAAAAATAAAAACCGCTGCTATCGAAACCTCGAAAGCTCCAACTTTAAGTCCTATGTTTCACTAGGAATGTAAAGTAGCAAAATAAAAAAGTACTAGGGGTATGAGAAAGTTACGGGGGTGTTTAAACAAGTAGCACCAACTGAAAAAATTCACCATAACATGGAAGATGAAAATCTATTCGATAAAGACTACTGATTGGAAGTTGTTTACGACTACGCAGCCTTAAACTGAACTTTTTAGCCACATTATAACAGGAAATGGTTCTGCATGGCTTTATTTAATATTTCTTTGAAAGTTTCAGCAGAGAATGGTCACATTTTTTTAAAGTGTCCTAATATTTTGAATAACGAATAAATCGCAGCTACTAGTGTTGAACTAGCCTTGAAGGTATTCAAATGAATTTGAAATATTTACATGGATGACAAAGAGAAGCTTCTTACTATACCGCATCATTTATCTCACAAGAAATTGAGGTAGAGTGAAGTTTGTATTTTTGTTTATATTTATGAACTAGTTGTCGAAAAAACGTTTTATTTTACTATATGTGGATAAATTACTCCCAAAAATAACTAGCTAAGATTACTTTCTGGTCATAGTAACCACATGTATGAATTAGTCATTGAGTCTAAAGTCGAAATTCTCTATAGCTGTAAAGTTGAGTTATTCACGATTACCTACTTTGAATGACATGAGTATCTTTCAATCGGTTAATGTATCTTAACAGTCTTTATGAACTAATAATCTGTCAGAGGCTGAAGGTATGATTTATATGCTCTTTTTCTGGACTACGGCCTGTCTAGTTTTCCCAGGTTTTTTTCCTTTTGAGCACCACTCACTCAATATATGTATAATTTAAGTCAATTGGCTAGCTGTCTTTAATCAAAGATGTTCACCTTCTTTCTCCCATGATACGTAGTATGATATGGTGAACAATATCGACGTTAGGTTAGGAGGGTATGTCAATCGATTGAGACGGCTAAGGCACGTAATGCGCATGCCATGCAACCGCCTTCATCGATGAGCAATGTTAGCTGACACAGGATTACGTTAGAAAATAGTTAGGGGGCAGTCGATTCGTCGACAGTTTATTTGAGTCACGTAGGAAGGTGTACATTGTCTGATTGGGTTCCCTGAGGTGCAAAGAACCAATGACCTCCCGTATCTATTAAACCACCATGGTTCTCCTTGCTACTATTCTTTCTCTTGTCCACTTCTGATTACTACAGTTCTTTTGAATTTTTTCGCTGCAATATTTGTGTGCTATATGAGCTGCTGTGAATTGAACTGCTGTACTTCCTTGTAAAGTTCTGTGCTGAAACTCAGTTAGCCAGTCAATAATGAACTGTACGTAATGTAGTTCTTGTGGGAAATAAAGTTAAGTCTTTTGCCTCTCCCCATCTATTTATTAGGGAAACAGTGAATAGCGTATAATAAATTGAAGCTTATAGTCTACTCTGGATAATCATAAGAGGTGACACATCAAACTTGCTGTTTCTTTTCATTTTTTTGTATTATAGAATATAATATTGATTATTATTTATTTCCTTTTGCTTTCCAAGTGGAACATAGGGTTTCGAACTTCAGCATTGCAGTGTTTCAGTAGTAGTGGTTGCATTTTACGGGGTTGAATTGCTACCCCCCCCCCCAAACACTTAACCTTTCCTCTTTTCCGGGTTCGCGACCTCCTAGGGGAGATAAAGTTGTGCGTTGGCTGAGAGTCGAACCCCGGACCACATATATGGTTGACGAGCATTCTCCCGCTGAATCGCTGACGCAACATGGAACATAAAGACGATAGAAGTGAAGTAGGGAATTTCCCCTCCCTAATCAAAATCCATTTGTGATAAATCGTGTGGTTTTTTGTTGGTTCATCAACACACCTGTTTGTTCGTAATGTTTAGACAAATAAAAAAT